GGATTTTAATTTTTTAATTCAACGTTTTTATTACTTTGAATGTTATTTTTAGTAAAAAATCATATTTGTGTAGATGATTCATTTATTTTAAATAGTATTTATTTCCTCTACTGGCCTGTGTACTTGATATTGTTTAAAATAAACAGAGCTTCTACTTAAATATGAGCATCCATTAAAAATAATGTTTGAAGTAATGAAAGTATTATGATAATGAGAGTATAGAATTTGTTAAACTCTAAGAACATGAATCCCAGTAAATTATATGAGATACAATAAACTGTGAACTAATATATGCTTGTATTAGTGTTTAGAAAGACGTCTCATTGATTCTTAGAATCAGGCCAATAATTGATGAAGAGATAAATATACTTCTTCAGGATAGCTTTATAGACTAATTGACCTATAAAAATATCATCTTTAAAATTCCACACTCATTATTGTTTTTTTTTTTATTAAAAAAAATTCGTGTTGATGGATTTGTTTTTTTTACAGCCTATCAGCTCTTGGTAGGTTATCGAAAGCTGAAGCACATTTTGAATTAATTTTCGGACTTTAATAACAGTACTTGGTGTTTCGAAGTGGTTCCACCAACAAAGTGTTGACTGAGGCTCAACACAGTATAACTTCAACAAGGAAAAATTTGTTAAAATTAATTAAGAGTATTATAAATAATTTTATGAAATAATGAAATTTGGTAAAATTTTAAAAATACAATTTGACCCATTCATTTATAAAATCAGAAAAAAATCATATAGCCTTAAAAAAATCATATAGCCTTTAACTTTTACCTTTAATTGATGACGTCTATGCCAAATTCCATCTTATGTGTAAAACTGTAGCATACAACTTGGAATATGCATACAAATAGATATTCACTTCCTATATATATATATATATATATATATATGTGTGTGTGTGTATGTATGTATATATGATAGTTAGGGAGGTAGGTAGACGTGTGTGTGTGTCTATATATATATATATATATTCCTACCACCATTCTTATTCTCTTAATTCCCTCATTCAGTATGTCCATCTTTTCCCTTTCTCCTCATCCTTCCACAAGTGATAAAAAAAAATCATGTCCCTCCCACCAAATTTTCTTTTATGGTCCCTTTTTCATTGATTTATCCTCAAGAAAAAAAAAAAACAAAAAAAAATAACCTATTCTTACAATTTCCCCACTCTCCATCATGTACCTCAATTATCCATTTTGTTTTTTCAGCTTTCTTCTCAGCTACCCGACCACAATTACTTCATGCACACCCCCATCCCAAATTTCCCTGATTGATCAAAGCAGGTATAAAAGTGTGAGAGACGTAACTTATTGCAACAGGAATTCCAAGATTGAGCAAGTGTCACTACTTCATCCATCTTAAAATCAATACTGCCACCAGATTCTGTCAGTAAATCCTGGTTTTCTTGGGGGAAGTCAAAGAAGAAGAAAAAAAAATGAAAGATAATCATGACTGGATAAAAAGAGAAAAGGAAGAATAAGTTGAAATAGAAAACAAAAATGGAAAGAAAGGAAAAAGGAAAAAGTAATATAAAGAAAGAATAAAAAAAAAACAGAGAATGAGGCTGGCTGAAAATGTAGAACAAAAGATTAACTACAAAACACAAGGATAGAAAAGAGGGGAGATTGTAAAAGGAGGGTAATGAATGAATGAAAGAAAGATGCAAACTTAAAAAGAGGAGGAAAAGGAATTAAAAAAAAAAAGAAGAGGGGAAGAAAATTCCAAAAAGGAAATTAATGAAGAATGAGGAAAGATAAGCTTAATGATTTAAAGAAATGACAAAAGAAGAAAAAAGAGAGAAAGAAAAGAATTTATGATCTTGAATTCTTAACTAAAGGCTTAAAAACCAAAGACAAAATCTAGAGTGATAAACAAAATAAAGAATTGGACAATCATTTTTGGAAAAGGAAAATGCTTAGAAAATAAAAAAAAAATAATACAAGCAGGGGGACTATTTATAGTACTTGATGTGATTTCAGACTCTGCTGCATTCTCTAACCACAATGCAGACATATTAAACATGGCTGCCAATAGCCACAAAGTTGCAGTTCCTTGTCATAGGAATCCATTTTGCTTCAGTGGCAAAGGAGAAGTATACACCTACTAGTCCCAAGCATATAATCTGATGGGCCCCATGAATAATTTACCATATTTTTGCATTAATTGCACCAAAAAATATCTGCAAAAGACAAACAAAAGAAATTGATGAATAGGTTTGAAAGAAATTGTCAAAACCAGAAAGAGAAATATTAGAATAAAACAAATGTAAAGAAGAGAATAAGAAATCCCATTGGGTTCTTTCATATTATAAGGATATTCTCAGCTACATCACAAAAGAAATGGTCATTTGTTCTTATAAACCAAGTGTATATCAACCTCAGTACATGAATTCCCTTTACTCAGAGATGTTTGGTATAAATCTAGTTATTTACCAATGGGTATCTTCAGGACAATTATCGTTTAAATCAGCCACTATGGCATCTTCATTGTCAAGCTATGATGGATATTTCTATCATTTGATAGTGAGTCATAGATAACTGCAATAATGAAAATTCCCATCATCTGTAATTATTGAGACACTTTTTAAGAGTACTATATTGACAGTAAACCTTTCTCAACTATTTTGTATTTTCAAAGCATAATTAGCTTTTAACATTAGAAAAGAGGTTTACCACTGCCTACTGCTGAGATTTTTTCACACAAAAACTTGAAAGCATCACTTGGTATCATTTTTAAAATAAAAGGTGTAAATACATTGTTTTAGACTTAAGTTTCTTTGGTTAAAGTTCTGTCTTTAACACAGAGGAATGTTTTGACAAGTAACCCATCCAAACAAAAACCAGACTCAGCTTTGCTTAACTTCAATGTGTTGACAAATGAGAATCACAATACTAAAGTGTAATTGAACATGTGAAAATTTCAGATAGATTGACTCTTAAGATTAGCAATTGTTTCATCCTTCTGTTTTCCTTTCAACCTTTGTCTGTATCTTCTCATTGTTTCCCTTATCCCTCCATATCTTCATTGGTTATTTAAATGTTGTACAAATATGGATTAATTTCATCTGCAAAAAGGAATGCACAAATGTTTTCTATTCTCTCTCTAAAAAGAATTTTTATTTTAAGCACTTTTATGTGAGTCAGGGAAACAGTTTTTGTCTTTTCTTCAAAATTGATAAAATCTTTTCTTAAAATCTGAAACAAAAACATTTGCATTTAGACTAAAACTGGAAATTATGTGACAAACTAAAAATAAGTAGTCATTCTGCATTATTATCCCAAGTAAAATTAAAAGAAAAAAAACTTCTGAAGATTGTTGACTTACTCTAAAAACTTTGAAGACAACATTAGAGTAAAAAGGAAAGAAAGAAACAAAAAAAGTAAAAATAATAATAAGGGTTAAATTAAAAGAGAAGAAAAAAAAAAAACCCCTAAGTTTTATTTATTTATGTTTTTAATTCATTTTCCCTATTTTTGTTCTAAAGGCTCTTAAATGTGTGCATTTCTTTATTCCTAATGAATGACTGTTCAGAAATTTAGGTTTGTATAATTCTTTTTTCCAGTTTTCTGTTTCAAAGTCTTCCTCTTTAAAGATTACAGCAAAAAAATCTGCTTTAGTAATTTGCTTATACTATTTAATATCATCCTTTTCAACTTAGATTAAAAGCCAAATTGGAGAAGAAAAGATTTTTTCTAAATTTATTTAGAAACTGTTTCTCAACCGAAGAATAAAAAAAGAAAATTGTCTGAAGTTGTCTGGCAGGGACTCACCAGGAAAATGAATGTACATTTTTTTTTTTATTTTGCAAAAATACAAAAATGTGGCACAAGATCAAAAGTGGGGGATGAGAAAGGCTGGTCTTCTGCCTTATAATTAAACCTAGCTAGTCACAATTACTGATCTAAACATACCACATGATTCCTTATACCAAAACAAAACATTCTTACTTACCATTCTTACTACACCCACCACAATACCTCAAAGTCTCTATGAAGTCTGTAGTGAAAGAGATAATCAGTTACCTTGAAAAAAATTTGTGTTCTGTGTGCGATCTGCCAAAGAAAAATTACCAAAAAGTAGTTAGCAAAAGTCTACTTCAATGACTAGAATCTATGCTAATGTTCTCCCCTCCCCTGAATGGCATGTCCAATCAGAAAGATCTCTCGATGAACCAAAGCTGTTGTTTTTCGCTTATAAAGGCAGAAGATTTTCTGAGCTGGTGAGCTGAACACGCATTTTTGCTCATGAGAAGTGAAGGTTGGACGTGCGACCCCATTTTGTTGTTTCTACTTTGTTTGTTGGACTGTTATGACGGGTTATCGTTTTAACTGCGATTTGACTACAAATGTTGCGGTCAAGAAACAGAAGAAATCTATTGCAGTTGCTACAATAAGTTGACAGCCTTTTCTTTTCTACAACAAAGTCCTAACTTGTTCCCATATGTACAATTTGTCTGTATGAGAGTGGGGATAAAAATAACACTTAAAAAATGAAACCCCAGTGAATATTTACAATGATTACAATTTACAAATGAATATAGACTCTCAGGAAGAAATACCCTGGGCTTATATTGAGCTCCATGGCACTACCCATTACAAAGAATGGGTGAGACAATCCAACAACAACAAAGCATTAGTTTCTATTAGCTGATGGTTGTGAGTTCAATTCCTGGGCTGGGCAATACATAAGTATATAGAAGAATAACACAAATCATTTTGATTAAAACAAGAAACTGACTGATTGTGTATTTAGTTTTTGTTGTTTTGCTGGACATGATATTTATCAGAATATTTTTATGGGCCAAACAAATATATTCGTTAGAGAGAAACAAAAATTTAGAAGATTCAATTTAAATATTCCATTTGTTTTTTTGCAAATAACCATCATATTTCTTGCTTAAATTCCTTGAAAACTGGACTGTTTACTCTTAGATATATCAATTCCATATATGAAAATAACCTGGAAATATTCCATTGACAAACCATGTTTTCTTTAGAAGGTGAGTTTTTTGTTTTTTTTTTAAATTTGAAGATTGTTATAGTTAACAAAAAAGAGAAACTATTTTTTTTTATCAAGAATATTTATTTATTAATGAACAGAATTTTGCACAACTTTATTAATACATTTGTACTTTGTTTATGACACATTTTGCATTTAATATTTCTTTCATCCATTGTGGTAATGGATCGATTAAGCTCTGAAAGAACTTTTGGTGTTGCTGATGCCTACACTTTAGAAAATTCTTCAAGCTTTCCTGGATATTATTTTCTTAATCTCCATTTTATGAATCCCCAGGAATTTTATATTAAATTTGCATCTTGGCAATCAACTATGGTATCTCCTTAAACATTATTTTGTAAATTTTGCTGTGTGTGGTAGAACAAGGTCATGCTAGAAAATAAATTCATTGTCTCCAAACCAAATTTGTCTTCAATGTCTGGGATGAGGAAATGATCTAAGACATCCTGCTGGACAGCAGCATTAAGTGACCATTTCAAGAGGCAGATCTTTCTAACATTTGTGGTAGACATACAACCCCAAATAATCACAGACTGAGGGAATTTTACATGTTTTTTCATTCATTTCACATTATTATCTCATGTGATTTATCCAGACCTGGGGGTCACTCACACACACACACACACACACAAAAAGAAATACAAAATTTTAATTAGTCACTGAAAATATCCTGATTTCATTGATCAGCTGACCAAATTTAATGACCCAGATTAAAAGCTTCTGTTTGGACTTCAAGATAATAGTGACTTTGAGGTCAGTATCCTACTGTCATATCTGAGCTGATGGAATCTCCGGTGTGGATCGAGAAACAGCTATACCAGCATCAGTCCAGATTTTGGAAATTTCATCACAATTGACAATTAGAAATAAGGATCCTACTCAATTGACATTTGTCTCTAGCTATTGTCTTGACTTAGTGTTGTGACCAAGTAAATGGTTAAGTATGCCAGAAAAGTATTACACAACTAGAAAGAGTGTATCGAATGAACTAGCACTCAATCTATTCACTGTTCCTCGAAGCCTTCTGTCCTGCTAATCTTATAGTTGGTGGAAGAGTCTAACACAGACTCTTTAGAGGGAATACACCACAACACTTTGGAACTGCAGTTGGACCGTTTTGAACAAGTTCATCTTGTTATCTCCAAGACAGCAAACTTAGAATTTGACAGCTTTTGTGTCTTACCAGTCTCCCATAACATGTGAACAACATCTTTTTGTATCTCATATTATATTAATTATGAGATTGAGTGACTTTGCTGAACACTAAAGAATCTACTTTTTTTAGAGCAATACCTTGACATTAAGACTACTCATGAAATAACCCTCATATGATTAAACAAATTTCAATTGTTAAGGATGAAATACCAGATTATTTATGTCTATTGTTTATTTAATTGATATAATGTTAAGAGTAAACTTGTTAATTTTAAACAAATTTGAGCAAGAAATATAAAAGTTATTTTGCAAAAGATGAAATATTTCATTTTTCTGAATTGTTGATGTCTATATTGTAGATGTGGGAAAATTCTTCTTTGTCATTACATTCTATGTAAATATAAATGACACATAATGTGCGGACATTCCCAGGGAAATTAACATCAAGACTCTTGTGAATGTCTCTCTTGAACTTTTCAGACTCAACATGGTTTGAAGTCTCTCTGAGCATTGTGCCCTGCTTTCTTCCAGGATGAATGACCACGGGCAAGGTTTTCCTAACTGGAACATACACACACACACACACACATCCGGTCTGAAGCTGACTGTTGCCACTTACATATAATGGCGCAATGGATAAATTGTCTTCTAAATTATGCAAAAATGACAATAACACTGACATCACATTTCAATAGATAAAAATGAATCCCTCAATTATTGCGGCCAATGTGTACATTGGTAACTATAAAAGATATTAATTTTCAATTACTATGGTTAAACTGAAGAATGTTTTACCACACTAATCTAGTATAATGTATGCACTAATAAAATTTTGGTATATAAAAATTTTAGTGCATTAAACAAAAACGCATTAATCAGATGCACATTAATTGAGTGATACCTGTATCTACCAAAATTATATAAAAATATCTTGAAATGCTAAAGAGTAAATTTATTCAATAAAATTACCATTTGTTTCAACCCTGGCTTCCAGATGACTTCAGAATCTCCTGCAACACTTCTGGATCATCTCCTTGTTTAAGGTGGTGACTGCTACCATAATCATTGCCTTAAGTTCATCTTTATTGTTAGAAGGAGTTTTGTTGGTTTCTCACTCAACTGCACCACACATATCATAATTAAGGGAGTTGCAGTCTAGGGAATTAGATGGCCAGATGTAATTGGTGATGTGGTTGCAGAAATTGTCTAGCAGTCATGACTGGCTTTTCCTGCTTGTGTGGCATGGTGCAGAGTCCTGTTGCCACACATAGGGTGATCCAACAGCCACCCTCTTGATTTTTCTGATTGTCAGGAGTTATAAGAAAATAATCCATCAACATGACTTTGAATCAGAAGCTTTAAGGTAAAATTTACATTCATTTAAGGCAATGCTTCTTCACTAGTTCACATCATGGCATAATGTCTTGTAAAAACTGCATGCCCCAGAGGAAATTTTTATTGCACATTTTGACATGACTCTTGGACTTCAAGAAAAATATTGGTACAAATCACTCAGTATTGAACTTTGAAAATTCAAATTTCTGTAAATGGTTTGAAAATTAAGGAATTAGGGCAAAAATTAAAAAATATTGTAACAAAAATTTATTGGGGATTAATAACCTGCTTGGTAATAGGGCCATAAAATGTACTGGTTTTAAGATATCTTCAATTAAGTTGAAATTATTATTATATAGATATAATATATATATATATATATATATATATATATATATATTATATAGGATCAGGTGTGTGTGTATATATATATATATATATATTATAGGATCATGTATATATATATATATATATATATATATATATATAGGATCAGGTGTGTGTGTATATATATATATATATATATATATATATATATATATACATAGGATCAGGTGTGTATATATATATATATATATATTACATATATATATATATATATATATATATAGATCAGTGTGTGTGTATATATATATATATATATACATAGGATATATATATATATATGTGGATCAGTGTGTGTGTATATATATATATTACATAGGATCAGGTGTGTGTGTGTGTATATATATTACATAGGATCAGGTGTGTGTGTATATATATATATATATATATATATATATTACATAGGATAGGATATATATATATATATATATATATATAGATAGGATCAGTGTGTGTGTGTGTGTGTGTGTGTGTGTGTGTGTGTGTGTGTGTATATATATATATATATATATATATATATATATATTATAGATCAGGTGTATATATATATATATATATATATATTATATAGGATCAGGTGTGTGTGTGTGTGTGTGTGTGTATATATATATATATATATATATATATATATATATACATAGGATCAGGTGTGTATATATACACACACACACACATATGATCCTATTCTCTTTTATTTATTGAATTTCGGTCAACATTTTACAAGCTTAAATAAAAAATATGTATCTTTTTCGAATAAGGGGCAATAAATGACCATGTCACTATGAATATTAGTAAAAAAAAAAAAAAAAAAGAAATAAATAAAAATCACATTCTATCATTTTTATGCCATTCTTATGATATTCTGAGACCAGGAGATCAAATAAATTTTACAATTCAGCTCCATAGGTCCTAAAGTCAGCTCTGGTAGCAACATTTGCACATAAGGTGTTTGAAAGGAAAAATGCTATCCTTGATGACACAAAGAAGCAAATCTTTTGGGGATGTTTTTACTGCTTCATAATTATGAGCAGCGAACTTTATTTTAATAGAAGAAAGAATTATTATCATTATCACATAACATTTGTTTTATCTTCTGTATTAGAATTTTTAGCTGAATAGGTGGGTGACTCAATATGCAACTGAGATTAATTCCTAAGATAAAATGATGGCAAGAAAAGAAAGACAAAAGCACAAAGTGATTTTGCTCATGACTGCTATCTACAACACATACCGGATGAACATTCAAAGAACATACAAACTGAAATACGTTAAAAACAACAAAGAAGAAAGTAACTGCAAGAGAATATATGTAATATAGAATATATGTAATATTGAATATAGAATATAAGTAATATTGAATATAGAAATTTCAGTTGTTGAAAAATTTTCCATTTAATGCCAGAAAGTTATAAAGATAACCACAGTCAAATGCTTTTTCTGGTTTGTTTCTGTTCATTTGCACAAGACACGAAAACATGAACTGCCACAATAATTCTTAGTCTCAGGATTGTTTTTCATTGTAAATATACTTGATGAACCCACCCCTTTCAGGAAAAAATCTTCATTTTAATAAAATAATTTTAGCTGCTTCTTGGATGAGCAAAGGTGCTGAAAAGTTCTTAGTCCAACTGACTCTTCCCTAAAATTTGATTATTTGACCAAACATTGGGATTTATTTTGAAATTGATTCTTGGTTCAAATCACACATTTTTAATTAATTTGGATTTTATTTTTTTTTTTTTGCCGAGTGTCATAAATGGGACTCGAACATGTTTTAGTTTCCACCCAAGAGGAATGTCCGAGAGAGAAAAATCAATGAATATTGAAGTGGTTTGTTTGTTTAAAAATCAGAGACAATACAAAGATAAAATGTTTCTGTAAATTTTACATACTTTCTGGATTCCCATCTTTATTCTGATTTTGAAGAAATGTCGACAAACCAGAGGAGATTTAAAATTTTTCATACTTCTAAATAAATTTTCAAAATGCTTTTAATTATATTTTAATTTTGGACAATCTAACACTTTCTACTCATGTTATATGGCTGGCTGCATGAATGTATCCAGAAATAGTTCCTGAAAATACTGTCACCAGTTTTTGATTGTA